CTTATCCAGTGCATGGCAGTTCCATTGGCGTGAGGGGCTTTGGCTCATTGCCAGGTTCGATTGAGACCCTGGAGGCTGACCCACTGCCTGGGACCTGGTCATTTTCTTGGATCTTAAGTCTTATTGGGAAAGCTTTTTGACTTTAGTATTCTTTGAAGACATTGGGAACAAGAAAGTTCCTCTTCTTTATCATTGGACTGGAAGTGCTGGTAGCAATGAAATGAAAGGTGAGGCAGGGCTGGGTATGGTGGCTTATGCCTGTAATCCCAGCACTTTGGGAGGCTGAGGCAGGTGGATCAGTTGAGGTCAGGAGTTTGAGATCACCCTGACCAACATGGCGAAACCCTGTCTCTACTGAAAATACAAAAATTAGCCGGGTGTGGCAGTGTGTGCTTGTAGTCCCAGCTACTCGGGAGGCTAAGATAGGAGAATTGGTTGAACCCAGAAGGTGGAGATTACAGTGAGCCAAGATTGTGCCACTGCACTCCAGCCTGGGTGACAGAGCAAGACTCTGTCTCCCCAAAAAAAAAGGTGAGTTGGGAGTGAGCACAGGTCATGAAAGAATAATGATGACAGGCTTCAAGTTTCCAGCTGCCACTGCAGGCTGTGGGTGACCTCAGGGTCTCTCAGAGACATCTTGGGAAGTCCCTGCCCATCTCTCTGGACCTGCGGGGGAGGACCACATCTGTGGTTGATAATGTCTAGAAAGTTCAGCGTTTCCCCCCTCATTGAGGTTTTAATATTTTCAGAGAGGTGGAACAGCCAGATGGATGGGGAATCCACCTCCACCCTCTAGCCAAGCCTAGGGACTCTTACCACTCTGACTCAAGAATCATAGTTGTTTTTTATTTTCTGGTGTTTTTTTTTTTTTTTATTGTTGCTCTTTTTTTTTTGAGACAAAGTCTTGCTGTCTCCCAGGTTGGAGTGCAGTGGTGCAATTTTGGCTCACTGCAACCTCTGCCTCCTGGGTTCAAGCAATTCTCCTGACTCAGCCTCCTGAGTAGCTGTGATTACAGGTGCACACCATACCCATCTAATTTTTGTATTTTTTTTAAGTAGAGACAGGGTTTCGCCATGTTGGCCAGGCTGGTCTTGAACTCCTGACCTTGTGATTCTCCCGCCTTGGACTTCCAAAGTGCTGGGATTACAGGCATGAGTCACTGCACCTAGCCTTTTTTTTTAGACAGGATCTCACTCTGTTGCTCAGGCTGGAATTGGAGTGCCATGGCACTATCATAGCTCATTGCAGCCTTGAACTCCTGGGCCCAATCCTCCCTCAGCCTCCTGAGTAGCTGAGACTATAAGCATGCACCACTGTGCCTGGCTAATTAAAAAATTTTTTTTTTGTAGAGTCAAGGGTCTAACTGTGTTGTCCAGGTTGGTCTCAAACTCCTGGGTTCAAACCACCCTCCCTTCTGTGCCTCCCAAACTGCTGGAATTACAGACCTGAGCCACTGCACCTGGCCAAGAATCCTAGTTTTGAATTTTCAGGCTGACAGCCTCAAATATGGTGAACTAGGGGAATTGCACAAAAAATATGAGTTCAGGTACAATGCAATTGGTGGTTGACCGCCCCCCATCCCCAGAAATCCTAGCTGGCTGTGGAGACCTGCCCTCGACCCCTCAATCTGCCCATCATGTGGCCTCCACATTTTACACTAGTCAGTGTCTCGTGTATCACAGGCCTCATCTCCCATGGAGGCTCTAAATTCCTATTTTCACCAGCAAGGCATCCTTTTCCCTGCATTCCTGCTATTAAGTGAGATCTTATTCTTCTCTGATGGCACCTTTCCCTGACTATTGAGGTGACATGTCTTGTCACATGCTTATTGGTGGATTTGCTGTGTTGCAGGGGATCTCATCTGGCCGAAGTTTTGCTGCTGCCCTCCCCCTGGGGACATTTCTGGAGACATTTCTAGTTGTTAGCACTAGGCTGGCATTGATGGATAGTGACCAGGGTGTGCCTAAACATCCTACAATGCATAGAATAGGCCCTCACAGCAAAGGATGATCAGTCCCAAAGCGTCAATAGTGCCGAGGCTGACAAATCCTGCTCTGCTGGGATTGCTGGGAAGATTTATTTTGTCTTAAAAAAAAAAAATTAAGTGACAGATGCTCTTGATCTAGGTATTAACCTTTTGATGGTTAATGCTAGGCATTAACCTTTTATCTGTCATCTGCATTGCAAATATTTCCTGGAAATCGATCATCTTTTAGTTTTATTTATGGTATCTTTTGCTGCAAACACAGAAAATTAATATAGTCAACTGTGTGTTTCGTTTTTATTATAGCCTCTCCATTTCCTGTCATGGTTGAGGTCTCCTCTGCCCTTATTGAGTGCATATGGTTTTTGATTTCTACTTCTATTAAGATTTATGTTCTTCTATTCTTTAGGCCTTTAATCTACCTGCAATTGATTTTTGTGAATGTGAGTGGTGGGAGGTGAGGAACCAAATTTTTTTTTCCAGGTGGAGAGTCAGGTTTTTTTTTTTTTTTTTTAAACCATATTAGATTCACTATCCTTTCCCTCTGAATGAAAATCCTACTTCTGTCATGTAGTAGCTTTATAAAATACACATACACACATATGCACATGTGCGTGCACACACTTACTCACTCCTGGGCTACACTTTTTTCCAATGATGCTTGTCAATCTTAGCATAAGACCATTAGATCTTAATTACATGGCTTTGTCATATGTAGCACCACAGAGGCCAGTTCTCACATACATTCTCTTTTCCCGCCTTATATAATTTGTTTTGGCAATTTCAGACATTTATTCTTTTCTCTTCTTCATTTTTAGGTCCCAAAATAGAAGTAACGCAGACCTCTCCTCACTCTTTTTTTTTTTTTTTTTTTTTTGAGACGGAGTTTCGCTCTTGTTACCCAGGCTGGAGTGCAATGGCGCGATCTCGGCTCACCGCAACCTCCGCCTCCTGGGTTCAGGCAATTCTCCTGCCTCAGCCTCCTGAGTAGCTGGGATTACAGGCACTCACCACCATGCCCGGCTATTTTTTTTGTATTTTTAGTAGAGACGGGGTTTCACCATGTTGACCAAGATGGTCTCGATCTCTTGACCTTGTGATCCACCCGCCTCGGCCTCCCAAAGTGCTGGGATTACAGGCTTGAGCCACCGCGCCCGGCCTCTCCTCACTCTTAAACTGAACTCCAGTGCCCCGCTTTCTGTTTGCTCAGCACAGTGAACGCTCCCCGTGTGCTGTTGTGGGAACTGTCATTTGAGTTATTGGTTGTGCGCTCCTCCCTCCTGCCAACCTGGCTCTGTGCTGTGTCCCAGCACTGCATGGAGACTGATGCTCATTTGACATTGGCTGAATGAATGAACAATGAAGGATGCAGAACTCCTTTGTTTTAAATGTCAAAATTAAGTTCATTTCTTGTGTGGCTTCGAGTATAAAGCAGCAGAGGCTGGTCTGGTCTTTGTCACTGCCAAGGTGTGGACTTGGACGGTTGCTTCTCTCTTCTGTCTCAGCCTTCTTCGTCTTCTTCTTTTGTTGAGATGGAGTCTTGCTCTTGTCACCCAGGCTGGAGTGCAATGGCACGATCTTGGCTCACTGCAACCTCTGCCTCCCAGTTTCAAGCGATTCTCCTGCCTTAGCCTCCCAAGTAGCTGGAATTACAGGCATGAGGCACAACGACTGGCTAATTTTTGTATTTTTAGCAGAGATGGGGTTTCACCATGTTGGCCAGGCTGGTCTCGATCTCTTGAACTCATGATCCGCCTGCCTCAGCCTCCCAAAGTGCTGGGATTACAGGCGTGAGCCACCGCACCAGGCCAGCTTTCTTACCTGTAGAACTGAACCCAATGGGCTGTGAGTATATCAGTGCAGTCATAAAATAGGATTTAAATTTATATATTTTTTGAGACAGGGTCTCACTCTGTCACTCAGGCTGGAGAACAGTGGTGCAATCATGGCTCACGATGACTTCCCAGGCACAAGCAATCCTCCCACGTTAGTAGTTGGGACCACAAGCGTGCACCGCTATGCCCGGCTAAATTTTTCTTTTGTATTTTTGGAGAGATGGGGTTTTGCAGGCTGCTCAGGCTGGTTTCGAACTCCTGGGCTCAAGTGATCTGCCCACTTTAGCCTCCCAAAGTGCTGAGATTACAGGTGTGAGCCCCCACGCCTGGTCTGTTTTAAATATTTTTTGCCCACAAAGGCAAATGTATTAAGGGCTCATAAAGTCATAACGTAGTCCTGCTAAACACTACCCAAGACTTGGCGTTAGGAGTGTAGCAGTTCCAGGCAGAGTGGAAACATATGGAGAATAAGCAGTTGCTTGTCTGGCTATTGCCAGAAGTGAAAACACACGTGCTGAAGGTGAGCATAGGAGGCCCCCTTGTCCCCTGGGCTGTTCTCTGAGCAAAGGACACAATTCCAAGTTGGCACAATGGACCGGATAAGTTCAGTAGCCGGACAGCCTGGCTGTGCCTCATGCTGCCGGAATGAGTGTGGGCTGGCCACTTAACCTCTGGGAGCCTCAGGGCCTCATTTGGGAAACAATAACAATAATATCCCTTTCATTAGAATGTTCAGTCATTCAAGTCATCACTCAACATGTGTTTTTTGAGCACCTACTGTGTTCCAGGCACTGTTTTGGGTGCTGAATATGCATAACGGCATGCCCCAGCACACCTAGTCCAGTGCCGGCACATAGTAGGTTCTCATTAAACGCTTGTTGAATGGATGATTGGAAAACAGATGGGGAGGAGGTACCAACAATAAATGAGTATATACGTGATACGTATATAACGATAAACATGAACATATAATAAATCCTATGTGAAATGTAATCATGAAGAAGATAAGGTGCTAGGAAGGAAAGGAACAGGTGGCAGTGACAGAAGATGAAGAGGTTTGGGAGCCAGGACAGGAGACCATCTGCTCAGATGGAGCGTTCAGGGTGGGCTTCTCTGAGGAGGTGATAGGCAAGCAGGGACCTGACGAGGGAGTGATGGGACTGGTCCTTGTTGGTTGCAGGCATCCAGCCCGCACTGTGGAGCAGGGAGGACGTGCTGCACTGGCTGCGCTGGGCACAGCAGGAGTACTCTCTGCCATGCACTGCAGAGCACGGGTTCGAGATGAACGGGCGTGCCCTCTGCATCCTCACCAAGGACGACTTCCGGCACCGCGCGCCGAGCTCAGGTCAGGGAAACTCACGGGCTTGCCTCTGAGTGGGAACCCTGACAGGCCAGGCCAGCCAAGTGCCGCAGGGGGGCCCAGGGAGGGAGATGGAGGAGGTCTTCCTTGGGGAATCTGCTCTTTTCCAGCACTGCAGATGCCCCTCTCTGCATGAAGGCATGACGTAGCCTTGCTAAACACTGCCCAGAGCTTGGCATTAGGAGCGCAGCAGTCCCAGGAAGAGCGGAAACATAGGGAGAATAAGCAGTCCCTTGTCTGGCTATTGCCAGACACGCATATGTTTTACACGCCTTTGTCTGGCTAGTGCAGATAGCCGGACAAGTGGTTCCTAGGTAGAGCAGGCCTTCAGCAAGGGAGTCTATTTGGCCACTTGTTTTCAGAGCTCTAGAGGCCTGTTCTCTCTTGCTTTCTCTTCCCCCATCTGCGGCCCTTGTCTCCTCTACCCACTTCCATCCTACTGCCTCCCATCCGCTACCCCTACTGAACAAGAAACCAACCACATAAAGATCAAATACTCATTCACATTGAGATATAAATGGCTGATTACAGCAAAGCCTTGACTCCCAATATAATGTTTGATTTTTATCAGAAACTAGGTCTGAGGGCAAAAGAATGAGTGTCTGATGATGGCGTTCCAGCAGCACGGACTTTGTGGGGAGGGACTGGTGGTGGGACGGCCAGTGGCCAGTGGCAGGGGAAGCAAGTGAGCTTGGGGCCGGTTCCCTTCATGCCCTTGTTCGTCTCTCCACCTTCCTACAAACACCCCTCACCCTCGTCTTCGAGTGCCTACTGTCTACATAGCATCCCTCTGGCTGCCTAGGATCCCCTCTTTCCGCCCTGGTATCAGCACCTTAGCCCAAGGTATAAAGGCAGACATCTGGCACCACGGACAGGGCCCAATTCTGGCCTTTTTTTTTTTTTTTTTTTTAGATGGAGTCTTGGTGTGTCACCCAGGCTGGAGTGTAGTGGTGCAATCTCGGCTCTCTGAAACCTCTGCTTCTCTGGTTCAAGCGATTTTCCTGCCTCAGCCTTCCAAATAGCTGGGACTACAGGCACCCACTAGCATGCCTGGCTAATTTTTTGTAATTTTAGTAGAGACGGGGTTTCACCGTGTTAGCCAGGATGGTCTCGATCTCCTGACCGCGTGATCCACCTGCCTCAGCCTCTCAGAATGTTGGGATTACAGGCGTGAGCCTGGCTTTTTTTTTTTTTTTTCTTTTTTTTGAGACAGGGTCTCACTCTATTGCCTAGGCTGGAGTTTGGTGGCATGAACACGGCTCACTTCAGCTTCAACCTCTCAACCTCCTAGGCTCCAGTGATCCTCCTGCTTTGGCCTCCCAGGTAGCTGGGACCACAGACATGAGCTGCCATGCCCAACTGATTTTAAAATTTTTTGTAGAGATAGGGTCTATCCATGTTGCCCAGTTAGTCTCAAACTCCTGGGGTCAAGTGATCCTCCTGCCTCAGCCTCCTAAAGTATTGGGATTACAGATGTGAGCCACCACATCTGGCCTTTCTTTTTGTCAATGATTTATTGAAGCAGCTCCTAATTCTGCCTTTTAGGAAGAGGCTAAGACAGCTTTGCTTCTTAGAAGGCAGGGGCAGCCAGGTGCGGTGGCTCAAGCCTGTAATCCCAGCACTTTGGGAGGCTGAGGCGGGTGGATCACAAGGTCAAGAGATCGAGATCATCCTGGTCAACATGGTGAAACCCCGTCTCTACTAAAAATACAAAACATTAGCTGGGCATGGTGGCGCATGCCTGTAATCCCAGCTACTCAGGAGGCTGAGGCAGGAGAATTGCCTGAACCCAGGAGGCGGAGGTTGCGGTGAGGCCGAGATGGCGCCATTGCACTCCAGCCTGGGTAACAAGAGCGAAACTCCGTCTCAAAAAAAAAAAAAAAAAAAAAAAAAGAAGGCAGGGGCAGACTTTTAGTAGAGCTTGGAATCCCTCTGCCCCCAGGAACGTGAGGTACAGTTGTACAGTTTGTGCACTGTGCACAGCCCTCAGTCAAGGGTGTGTGCAGGGGCTGAGAAGCAGCCTGACCTTGCCAGCTACATGCTCTGGAGGTAGCTGCATCTACCGGCAGGAAGGGATGTCTTCTAAAATCCGTCCACCATGGCAGCAGCGCTGGCTCTGCCCGTTGCCGGCCCAGTCCCCTGTCAGCTGCAGCAGGAACCCCCTCGCCATCAGCCTGAAGCTGTGACAGGACACGCCAGCCCTCATCCTGAGGCAGGTGGCTGCCGGGAATGAAGCTGGCCCTCCCCATGTAGCCTGGTCAGCAGCCCACCTTCCTTCCTATTCCCCTCCAGGTGATGTCCTGTATGAGCTGCTCCAGTACATCAAGACCCAGAGGCAGGCCCTGGTGTGTGGGCCCTTTTTTGGAGGGGCCTTCAGGCTGCAGACGCCCACCCAGCACTCTCCTGTCCCCCCAGAAGGTGAGGAAGCTCTTCGTGGTGCTCTGAGCCCTCCCGCAAATCAGCCTCATTGCGAGGGCGGGACATCCTCGAGGCGAAGCAGTGACAGAGGTGGCCAGTGTGCGCTGAGCTCCCTCCTGCCCCTCCACCCACCTTCCCTGGGGTGCTCCTGGCAGCCTTCCTTCCGGGCAGCACCCTCCCTGCCTCTTTCCTCCCCATTTCTCTGCTCTCCTCTCCAGCAAAGAGTTGTTTGTATCATATCTCAATTTTTTCTCTGGAGCCCACCACGAAAATGATTCTTGTCAAGGTCTCCAGAAACCTGAAAACAGGGATGTCCATGCCATGTCCACTCTCAGGCCTGACTCACTATGGCCTCTCGCAGGCTTTAACCCTGAGGGTCACCTCTCCTTCCCTCAAAACTCTTTCTTCCTTTGGCTTCCCGGACACCCCACTCACCTGGTCTCCTCTACCGCACTGGTATCTCCTCGACTTCCTCTTCTGGTTTCTACTCTTCTCCCCTGCTTCTAGATGTTGGGGTACCCCAAGCCAGAGGGCCTCTTCGCTTCTCCATCTGCACTCAGATGCTGGGCAATCTCATCTGATCCTGGGTCTTAAATACCATGCGGTGCCAATGATTCCAGTATATGCTTGACCTCTCCAAATTCTAGATACGTGCATCCATGCTGCCTGCCCCACCCCTCCCCTGGGGCGTCTAGTGGGCATCTCAACCCCCACAGACCCTAAATCAAATGATATCCTGCCCTCCCCACCATCTTCCCCAGCCCCGCAAACCCTGCCTCCACCCTTCCAATTGCTCAGATGCCATCTCAGATTTCTACCCCCACCCCAACTGATCCCAACTGTCCATGCATCCTGTCCGCCCTACCTTCAAATCTATCCAGAATCCAACCTCTTCTCGCTCCTCCACTGCTGCCCCGGTCCAGCCCCAATTGTCTCCAGAGAACGTCCTCACTGGTCTCCTTGCTTCTGCTCCTGACCTCCTACGATCTGTTCTCCACAGCGCAGAGAGATTCCTAAGTCAGGTCACGTCACTTGTCTGCTCAGCATCTTCCAGGGGCTCCCTTCTCACTCAGAGTCAAAGTGCCATTCTTACACTGACTCCTTCCCCTGCCCTCCCCTCCCAGCCTTCTCCCCCTTGCTCATGCTGCTCCAGCTACATGGGCCTTCTCGTTCACTGGATGAGCCCGAGATGCACCTACCCCAGGGCCTTTGCACCTACTGTTCCCTCTGCCTGGCGTTCCCCTCTCTGCTCCAGATACCCACATACCTCACTCCTCTATCTCCTTTGAGTCTGTTGACATGCTAATGTCAGGGAGGCCTGAGCAGCCTCTCTAAAGTGGCAACCCCGCTACTTTCCCAGATTTCCCTATCTGCCTTAGGGATAGATTTCCCTATCTGCCTTAGGGATAGATTTCCCTATCTGCCTTAGGGATAGATTTCCCTATCTGCCTTAGGGACAGAGTTCCCTATCATCTGCCTTAGGGATAGATTTCTCTATCTGCCTTAGGGTGCTTGTTGTTGTTTCTGGAAACTGAAACATGAAAAGGAAACCGTTTCTGTTTCCTTTTTATTTTAATTGTCCATCTCCCTTGCTCTCAACTAGCATATAAGCTCCCTGAAGGCAGGGGCCTTTTGGGCTCAGCGATATATCCTCAAGATTCTTAGAACAATGCCTGGTTCATAGCAGGCTCTCAATGAATATTTGTTGGACAAATGGAGAGGAGCTGGGATACAGCGCCCCCCGCCGGGGTTCTAGACCTGGCTCTGTCACTGCTGGGTTTTGCAGCCGGCTTCACAGAGGAGGGAACAGGTTTGACAGGTTGCTACTTGTGTGGGAGCTGGGGTTAGCACCTAGGCTGTCTGGCCCTCACCCACTGCCCCCACTGCCTCCCTGACCTTCTAACCAGGGGCTGGATGGAGGAAGAGCTCGGGAGTGCTGCCCCACAGGGCTCCCAGGCTCGCCATTGCGAGGTTGGGTGGGGGAGGCTTGGGGCCCACTGAACCAATGTGCTTGTCTGCTTGCAGAGGTGACTGGCCCCTCTCAGATGGACCCCCAAAGGGGCCTCCTGCTGCAGCCACCAGACTCAGGCCTTACCAGCTCCTTCAGCCACCCGGATGGCCCTGGCCTGGCCAGGTGGATGCTTGGCAAGGAGGAGTCCCTCAACTTATGTCACGGTGCAGAGCTCGGCTGCAGGAGACAGGGGGTCTATTCCTTCCCTGTGATGCCACAGGCTCCCATTGACGGCAGGATCGCTGGTGAGTGGGAGGCTGTTCCCTTGGCCATGGGGAGGCGCACTGAGTCTGAGTCCCAGAACCATGAGTAATGAGGACAGGGCTATTTTGACCTGGTGATGGGAGGTCTGTGGCTGAGGGGTTGTGGGGTAGCATGACTGTCTTGTCTGCTGACCACGATCTGCTTACAGCAGGCAGGGATACCTGGGATCACCAAGCCTCACTTTGTCTCCCACACAGGGACAACTTACCCGGTCGTATTCTGACACTCACATTAGCATGGAGTGTCACACCCACTTTTTAAAACTTTATCTATTTTAAAATAATAGAGCATTCATTATGTGCTGGGCATCTGTCCCAGGTCCTTATTTAATTCTACAACAGCCTTTTGAGGTTGTTACTATTATTAGCCCCATCTTACAGCTATGGAAATTGAGGCACAGAAAGCTTAAGTAACTTCTCCAAGATCACACAGCAGTGGTAGAACTGAGATTTGAACCCAGGCAGTCTGGCTCTAGAGCCTGAGCTCTAACCAAGTGATCCACTTCCACTCTGCATTTGTTGTTAAAGGATAACAGGTAGACAACCAGACAGACTGACAGACAAGCTGCCCCCTTTCCTAAGCGTGTTTCCTAGCCATAATAGTGACACTACATTTATTCCTTTTTTTTTTTTTCCAACTTTTATTTTAGGTTTAGTGGGTACATGTACAGGTTTGTTACATGGGTAAATTGTGTGCCACTGAGATTTGGTGTATGAATAATCCTGTCACTGAGGTACTGAGCAAAGTACCTGATAGGTATTTTTTCTTTCCTTTTCTTTTTTTTGAGATGAAGTCTGGCTCTTTTTTTTGAGACGGAGTCTGGCTCTTTTGCCTAGGCTGGAGTGCAGTGGTGCGATCTCAGCTCACGGCAATCTCCACCTCCCAGGTTCAAGTGATTCTCCTGCCTCAGCCTCTAAGGTAGCTGGGATTACAGGTGCCCGCCACCATGCCTGGCTACTTTTCATTTTATTAGTAGAGACAGAGTTTCACCATGTTGGTCACAAAATGGTCTCGAACTCCTGGCCTTGGGTGATCCACCCATGTCAGCCTCGTTTGGTGCTGGGATTGCAGGTGTGAGCCGTCACGCCCGGCCTATGATAGTTCTTCCACCCTGGTTCTCTTCCTGTCGTGGTCCCCAGTGCCCAGGGTCTGTTGTTCCCATTGTCATGTCCACATCACATTTATTCTGTGAAGCCACAGAGGGGGCAGAAGCCTGGATTTGGATTGGAAATAACTAGAAGTCACTAAAAAACAATTATTAGCCTACCACATAGAAATAATGAATACTTGAGGTGATGGATGCCCTCAATACTCTGACTCGATCATTATACATTCTGTGCATGCAACAAGAGATCACATGCACTCCCTAAGTAACTAAAGATATGTATCAATATAAAACACATCTATTCACAACTACTGGATCTTTTTTTTAAGAGACAGGGTCTCACTCTGTCGCCCAGACTGGAATGCAGTGATGCCAGCGTAGCTCACTGCTGCCTCAAATTCCTGGACTCAAGAGATCCTCCCACTTCAGCCTCTTGCAGTGACTGGATTCTTCAGTTCTAATGTTTAACATTCTTCACGCGCTTACACTATGCCAGGGACCGTGCTGAGGGTTTTGTGGTCTATTATGTTACCTAATTCTCTTACCACCCCATACAAGGAAATTGTGGCTCAGAGAAGGTTGCATTACTTGCCTGCGATGACCCAGCGGACAGGCCCAGGTCGTGGGATTTAAGATCACACTGTTGCTCCCAGGTGCTTCTGCCCCCTTACCCCCCAGTGGCATGTTTCATTTTCCTGAGCCTCACCATTAGGGAGCTTGAAGGGATTATAATTAATGGAAGTCCAGGGGGCTGAGTGAGTGAGCCAGGGGCATGAGGGACCTGGAGTCAGGGGCCCGCGCACCTGGCCTGCGAGCCCAGCCCTTGCCCTCACATGGCTCTGATGTCAGGTGGAGCCGGTCAGACTCCCCGCTCTGCCTCCCACTTAGGAGCTTGGCAACTTTTAGACACTTCCGCACCTCTGAGCCCATTGCCTCACTGCTTCCTGGGGATAAAAGTAGCCACTTTCCAGACTCACGAAGACTGCCTGAGACAATGCGTGAGGAGCCCCGTTAGTGCTGTTTCTGTTAATATCATCATTTTCACCATCCTGCTGGCACTCCCAGGGTCCTGGCCGGGAGGCCTCCAAGAGTGCCTTTCTAACCCCTGTCCTCACAGCTCCAGTAAAGCTGCTTGCACCCGCTGTGCTAAATTGCAGACTGCCGGCTGCTATGGGATTACGTGTATCAGCTGCTCCTTGACACCCGATATGAGCCCTATATCAGGTGGGAAGACAAGGACGCCAAGATCTTCCGAGTTGTGGATCCCAATGGGCTCGCCAGACTGTGGGGAAATCACAAGGTGAACCTCAGCCAGCAGGCAGAGTGGTCTCAACATAACCAGACCAAGACAGAGTTGGGGGTCAGAGTGGACCCCTGAAACTGTGAGACAGTCCTCAGCTGATGGAGCCTTCACCAGCAGCTCCAGAAGTGTCAGGATAATTTACTTAGGGAGCTTTTGAGGGACAGGCAGTTACCTCTTACAGCTGGGGAATGTCTCTGAAACTGAACAATTGTGTCTTCTCATTGCTTCATCTTACCTTTGCTCAGCATCTCAGCCTTTTGAAGCATGTTTGCATTGACTGCCCAGCGAATGCTGTGGGGTAGTTAGGCCACAGAAGGAAGCTGGTTTCCTGCGGGGAAATGCTATAAATCGATGATTATCATGATCGTTAATAGTTTTATTTAAAAAGATCTGTTTTTATACAAAAAATTAGCTGGGCATGGTGGCGCATACCTGTAGTCCCAGCTACTAGGGAGGCTGAGGCAGGAGAATTGCTTGAACCCAGGAGGCAGAGGTTGCAGTGAGCTGAGATTGCGCCATTGCACTCCAGCCTGGGTAACAAGAGCGAAACTCCGTCTCAAAAAAAAAAAAAAAAAAAAAAAAAAAATCTGTTTTTTAACTTAAAGAAACTATTTATTTAAAAAGGCTGCAGTCCTTATATCACCCCTGTAAATCATGAGATGGGCTTGGTAGTTGTATTTTGTAATCCTAATTCAAAAATACAATTATGAGAATGTTAACCCACCTAAGATCATCTTGCAGACACTCATTTAGGCACAGGAGCTCCCCGTAACGGCAGCACTGGTAGTCATCCCCAGGCCTTTCCAGCTCTGACATCAGATGCTCCTGCTAGGCCTGAGACCAGGCCGGGGCTCCACTCTATTATGAGGATTAGACCAGATAAGTCTTCCCGAACTTTAGTCATCTGCATGCTTCCAGCCACCAGCACTGCTAAGGGCGAACTCACCTGAGGGTGTGAGCTCGAGACCAGCCTGGCCAACATGGCGAAACCCTGTGTCTCTACTAAAAATGCAAAATTAGCTGGGCGTGGTGGTGGGCAGCTGTGATTCCCAGCTACTCAGGAGTCTCAGGCACAAGACTCTCTTGAACCCATTGAGGTGGAAGTTACAGCAACAGCCTCAGTAATAATGAAAACAATAATAGCTGATCTTTCTTTCTTTCTTTCTTTTTTTTTTTTTTAAGACAGAGTCTTGTGCTGTCCCCAGGCTGGAGTGCGGTGGCATGATCTCAGCTACTGCAACTTCCACCTCAACGGGTTCAGGAGAGTCTTGTGCCTCAGCCTACTGAGTAGCTGGGAATTACAGCTGCCCACCACCATGCCCAGCTAATTTTTGTATTTTTAGTAGAGACACAGGGTTTCACCATGTTGGCCAGGCTGGTCTCGAACTCGCTAACTCAGGTGAGTTCGCCCTTAGCAGTGCTGGTGGCTGGAAGGGTGCAGATGACTAAAGTTTGGGAAGACTTATCTGGTCTAATCTTCATATAGAACAGGGAGGAAAACAGGCCCAGGGAGCAGCAGTTCCATTTAATGAGCACATACTACATGCCATGCACTGTGCTAACTGCCTTCATGGATTAGCTATTAATAATTTAATCCTCAACTTGTGAGACAGGTGTTCTCTTTCTCATTACGTAGCTGAGGAAGTGGACTCAGAGAGGTCAAGAAACTTGTCCAAGGCGACACAGCTGCCAAGTGGTGGAGCTGGGGCTTAAATTGATGCCAAACCCTGGGCTCTTTGGCCCTGCCTCACACTGCCCACCCCTAAGAGAGAAAGAAACGACTTGGCCAAAGTCACACAGAGTATGGCAAGGCCATCCATGCCGCCCCACCATGCTGTCTCTCTGATTGCATTTCCCATAAATTTAGATATTTATTTGTTACTGTTGTGACATTTGCTATTTAAAAGTAACATACAGTTCACTCCCACAGTCTGTTCTCAACCAAGTAGGCGGGAGAATCTTCCCATCATTTCTTTCCCTTTTTTTTGTGATGGAGTCTCTCACTCTGTCGCCCAGGCTGGATTGCAGCGATGTGACCTCAGCTCACTGCAACCTCTGCCGCCCGGGTTCAAGAGATTCTCCTGCCTCAGCCTCCTGAGCAGCTGGGACTACAGGCATGTACAGCCATGCCCAGCTAATTTTTGTATTTTTAGTGGAGACGGGGTTTCTCCATGTTGGCCAGGCTGGTCTCGAACTCCTGACCTCAAGTGATCTGCCCACCTCGGCTTCCCGAAGTGCTGGGATTACAGGCCTGAGCCACCGTACCCAGCCCCATCGTTTCTTCCCCAACCTTCTCCTGCCTTTTTCCTTCCAAACTCAAGTGAGCACTCATAAATCCTCACAGATCCCCGGCCTGAGAGGCTTAAGAAGCTGTCCAGTCTACCCTGCTCCCTTCCAGGTGTGGAAAGTGAGGCCTGGAAGGAGCGGGACATAGACAGCAGGGCTGACATGGGGCTGCTTTGCCTTCCAGAACCGGGTGAACATGACCTACGAGAAGATGTCTCGTGCCCTGCGCCACTACTATAAGCTGAATATCATTAAGAAGGAACCGGGGCAGAAACTTCTGTTCAGGTGAGTAGCCTAGGGGCTATGGTGAAAGGGGGAAGCAGACTGGGGTTGGGTGGGCTGGAGTCCCCCTGCAGCTGGGGCAGGAGCTGATTTGCAGTTGAGACCTGAATTCTAGATTTTTAAAGACTCCGGGAAAGATGGTCCAGGACAAGGACAGCCACTCGGAGCCGCTGGAGAGCCAGGAGCAAGACAGAATGGAGTTCAACGACAAGAGGCCAGAAATCTCTCCATGAAGGGCAAGTGGACTCCAGGCCCCTGTACTGATGGGCTGAGACGACTCTCCTGCGAAGGCAGCCTCCTCCTCCCAGTACGGCAGCAGGATCTCCAGCCAGACTCTACCCACAGGGTGACAGCCATTGCTTGGGAGGGCTGGGAGGCCTCCCATCCAGGACATGCGGTGGAGTGTCAGCTTTTCGGCAGGGTGATCCTGGGGCTAAATGGGACACAGGGGAGTGGACTCTCCCCTGCTGCGCCCCTGGGAGAGGGAGCCAGGCACTGATAGAGCATTCAGCCCCACCCCTCTAAATGGAATTTACGGATGAAGGGAGTGAGGTCTCTACTGAGCCTCCAATTTCCTCACCTGTGAAAGGGGGTGCTCCTGAAAGCCCACCCTCAGGGGCTGATGCAGGAAATGGGAAAAGGTGTTAGTGCTTTGAGGCAGCACTGACAGCCTCAGTAATAATAAAAACAATGGTAGCTGATGTTTCTTTCTTTTCTTCCTTTTTTTTTTTTTTTTGAGACAGAGTCTTGTGCCGTCACCCAGGCTGGAGTGCAGTGGCATGATCGCAGCTACTGCAACTTCTGTCTCAATGGGTTCAAGAGAGACTTGTGCCTCAGCCTGCGGAGTAGCTGGGAATTACAGCTGCCCACCACCAAGCCCAGCTAATTTTTTTGTATTTTTAGTAGAGACACAGGGTTTCACCATGTTGGCCAGGCTGGTCTTGAACTTCCGACTTCAGGTGATCTGCCTGCCTTGGCCTCCCAAGGTCCCGGGATTACAGGTGTGAGCCATTGTGCCTGGCCAACAAAGAATTTTAAAAAGCAGAAGAGACATTCTCATGGTTGAAAAAGTAGCCAGGCATGTGCTGTCTTTTTCTCAGATTATATTACAATTAAAGAATTGACAATAGATAAAGAATTTATGAAAAAATAAGCATAATAAAAAGTTAATTAATGAAACAAATGATACAAATCACTGTCTTGATTCCATTGAGCCATTTATGGCACTAACCCATGAGCATGAGCTCTGGTCTTCATCTTCACTATTAGATGGATTCTTGCCTAGAAAAGCTTTTGCCCTTATAGGAAAGTTCCAGATCTAGCGCTTGATTTAACCTTGGTGGCTCTGCTGGGTCTGGGGCTCTTACTGTAGGAAGCCTGGGCTGATGCCGGGGACCCATCGGCTTTGTCGCAGAGATTCCTAGCATGACAGTCTTCCTTGGCTTCCTCCTCTGGTCCCACAGCGTTAGTGATCCACATTTCCTTTCTTCTTTCTTTCTTTTTTTGAGACAGAGTCTTGCTTTGTCACCCAGGCTGGAGTGCAGTGGTGCTATCTCGGCTCACTGCAACCTCCACCTCCTGTGTTGAAGAAATTCTCCTGCCTCAGCCTCCTGAGTAGCTGGGATTACAGGCATGCGCCATCACACCTGGCTAATTTTTGTATTTTTAGTAAAGATGGGGTTTCACCATGTTGATCAGGCTGGTCTTGAACTTCTGACCTTGTGATCCACCTGTCTTGGCTTCCCAAAGTGCTGGGAGGTGTGAGCCACCGTGAATGGCCAGTGATCCACATTTTCTACTCAACTGTTCTCGCAAACGGTTTGCAGAGGCACTCAGAAAACACATACCTTTACAGAGCAAGGGCCTGTGCCACAGAAATGTCCAGATCTGGTGGATCTGGCGGTAAATGGGAGGATGGTGCAGGCTCAGAGGTAGCCTGTCCAATGCTGGTGTCAGGGTCACGCGCTGCTAGTGAGCTCCCTCAGTGGGACCTCAGCCCTCAAAAGACCTCAGTGGGAACTAAGCCACCAGTGGTACAGCCCCAGAACTTGAGACAGGAGTTTAAAGCAGGTTGTTCTGCGACCAGTATACGCAACTCAGAAATATTTTAATCGTGATCTTGGTTTTTTAAAGTCCAAAATCCTTGTGTGAGTGAATTGCTCATCTACCGGGTGGGGATGGGGAAGGATGGTGAGTGAACAAAGGGGACTAGGGCCCCGGCTTGGAAAGTTGGCATAGAAGTAGGAGAAACAGATGTGGCTGCTCAGCAAACCCTTGCAGTCCCCAGGGAGAGATGACGTGAGAAGTGTGCCAACTGGGGCGGTGCTGGACAAAGTGGTGCTGGTGAATTCAGCTTGAGAGGCACCAGGGAGAGTTTCCCTCCGGGGAATCACAGGCTACTGCTCTCTTTTTCTAACTTCCCTTTTGGAGGGCTGAGATCTGGAAGCACAGCGGGGCTGTGGGGCTTCTGATCCTTGAGGGGTCAGGGAGACCGCCGGGGAAATGGGATTCTGGGCTGTGGGCTTCTCCCCACGGAAAAGCCTGCAGTTTAAAGTCATGTCCACTAGGTGGTGCAAAAGCCTCTTTTTGTGTTAGTGTTGGGCTGGGCGGTGGCTGAGTGCGTAGTCTGTGGACAGCGAGCCTGCCTTCTCTCGCAGGGAGGTGTGTACTCTCCAACTCAGACATGCTCTGTAAGTAAACACCCAGGCCCTGCTTGAACACCTCCAGTGACGGGTGACTCACACCTCCAGGGGACAAAGTAAGTAGCAGGGGTGGGGGTGGAATTGAGGGGCACCAAAAAGCCAACTGTCCTGTGATAGTATCAGCCTCCTCTCCTAGCCCACAGGCCACTGGTGTCTGCAATTTCTATCTTCCCAGTCTCTTTACTGGGAATAACTTCTTATCTCCTTTTTTAAAAAAAATTTATTTATTTATTTATTTTTTATAAAGATGGGGTTTCACCATGATGCCCAGGCTGGTCTTGAACTCCTGACCTCAGGTGATCCACCCACCTCAGCCTCCCAAAGTGCTAGGATTACAGGTGTGAGCCACCACACCCGGCCATCTCCTCTTCTTATGATCACTTTATCCTTGAGTAGTTTGTCAGCAGAGGCCTAGATGAGACCTCTCACAGATCTGGGACATCTGCTAGGGACGTGTCAAAGCCTCTATACCCTTGTAGCAGGAACAGCCATGAACACACCAAATAAAGGAGGAAAGAGTTTATTATTTGGCCGGGAGCCTGGGCGTAATTTGTCCAAAGCCCAGCTCATTTAACAAAGGTAGGTTCTGCCTTTATATAGGTTTATACTTTAGAAATTACATATGAAAGGGTTTCGGTTTACAATTTTAGGACTCACATGTGAAAAGGTCTCTGTTTACAGTTTTAGGAATCACATATGAAAGGGTTCCGGTTTACAGTTTTGGGACTCACATGTGAAAAGGCTTTTGGTTTGATTTTGTTTTAAGTAAAAATGATGTCTTTTAGAGAGTTTCCCCAAGACCAAGCGTGTTATTTTCAGGAAGGAGATTCAGGAGGCGCCAGCTGGCCTGCTCTCTCTTCTACTGAGCTGCACAGTGGGTGACAGAGGGGGAGGGAATCCCACATGCCTGGGTCTCCCTCCTTACCCTTACCCTGCCCATGGAGACCTGATTAGGAATCAGAAGGACGGAGGCTTCCTTAATTTCCTCCTACTTTAGTCACAGCAACCTTCCGGGCCTCAGTCTCCACTTCTGTAAAATGAATGGTCACATCCTTTGCCCTGCTTAGCACGTGGAGCTGTTGAGCAATTTCAAATGAAATAACACATTCCTTTATTTAACATTCATCTAGCACATATTGTAGGTTAAGCACTGTCTAGAAACAGGAATCTAGTGGTGACCAGGACAGATAAGTAAACAAATAAATACAGAACATAATGGCAGGTGGTGGTAGGCACTATGAAGGAAAATAAAATAGAATCAAGTGAGGGGGGCCAAATTTAAATTAAGCTGTCAGAGATGTAAAAAACATGTAAGTAGGAACAAGCCATCTTTACCTATGTCACTTTCTCCCCTGCAGTCGGTCCATCTTCCTTCTTTCCTTCCTTCCTTCCCTCCCTCCCTCCCTCCCTCCCTCCCTCCCTCCCTCCCTCCCTCCTTCCTTCCTTCCTTCCTTCCTTCCTTCCTTCCTTCCTTCCCTCCCTCCCTCCTTCTTTCCTTCCTTCTTCCTTCTTTCTTGCTTTCTTTTTCCGAGTTTCACTCTTGTCCAGGCTAGAGTGCAGTGGTGCAATCTCGACTTACTGCAACCTCTGCCTCCCAGATTCAAGCGATTCTCCTGCCTCACCCTCCCAAGTAGCTGGGATTACGGGCATGCGCCACCACACCCGGCTAATTTTTTTGTATTTTTAGTAGAGATGGGGTTTCACCATGTTGGTCAGGCTGGTCTGGAACTCCCGACCTCAGGTGATCCACCCTCCTTGGCCTCCCAAAATGCTAGGATTACAGGTGTGAGCCACCATGCCCAGCTGTCCGTCCCCTTTGTATTTAACCTGCAGGTGACACCATGAAAGATGGACACTGTTGTTAGTTATGTGCAATTCAATGCAATCTTAATGGCTATGACTAAGGAAGACAGGCTGGAAGAAGATCACCTTGGGCTACAGCTGCCCCTCTCCCATCTTATTCCTTTGAGGGAGGCACCAGCTAAGACCCCTGAGATCATAAAGTCTTCTAAATAGACCTCAAGTCTCCAGATCAGGAGACCTCCCAACTCAGGGAAGCATGGTGTATTGTTCAAAGTGCTCTGGCTGGAAAGTCCCAAAGTTCTAAATATGACTCTTTAAATTCCAGCAGTTCTGAGCAGGAAGCAATTTCCCCTTAGTCACATGATCATATGCTCCAGCCAGTGACAAGCTCAGGTTCTCAACCTGTGGAGTGGGATGAGGAGTACCTATCAGATTCTCAGGGGATGGCTGATTGTGGGTGGCTGAACGCGGCGTAGGAACCTATAGAGAGGGTCTGAAGGCACTTTCTTCTGCACCACGCCCACGAGATCAGTGAGCTGACCCAGTTTTCGGGTTTTAGGGATGGGGAAACTGAAGATGAGGGGGACCTTGAGAGTCTGGGATTCTGGCTTTCAGCCAGGGACCCTTCCAACCTTAGGAACAGACCATGCCAGCTCTAGCCCTCTGCAAACTCAAGTGATTTACAATAAAGAACATGATTTTTTCCTGAATGACCAGTGAGTGATTTACCAAGCTGAATCTTGATCAGCCACAAAAAGAGAGAAGGGTCTTTGACAAAGCAGGAGACCTGAACTGGAGCCAGCAGCAGAAAGCCCCCAGTGAAGTCCCAGAAACAAAAGCGTGGCAGCTCAACCATATCTTTATTTTGAGCAAGACGAACTGCTTTTCTGATAATACAAATTCGTTCACCAGACTTTTGAGTGAGGAAGGCATGCCTAGACCAATGTCCGGCTTATCTTCGAAGGAGGCCAGCCTTAATTAATTCCAGCTCCTGTGCCACTTAGAGTCATGCTGGCCCTAGCATCTAAATGGAAATCTCAGTGGCTTCATGTGAAAAACATTCATTTCTTGTCACACAAAGTTTGGTTGGTGGGTGAGGAGGGATCCTTTCCATGAAGTCATCTGTGGTCCCAGGCTGACGGAAGCTCTGCTGTGTCCTTCATGTGGCTTCTATGCAGGGGGTTGACATCTAGCCAG